TTAATATTTATTAGTTTAAATATTAAAAATTATATGCATTTAATTAAATTTATTATTTTAAATGACTTAAATGGTGATTTTCAAATTGATCTTATAATGATTATTTCTTAAAAATAGAATGAAAATAATATACAATAGTAAAATCTAATAAACATGCAAAAAAAAATAAAGGTTTTTTAGTTGACCGGTTGAACCAATCAAGTAAACCGGTTCAACTAGTTCAACCAGACTTGGTGGCCAAAATGGGTCAACTATCGGGTCGGACCCAAAAACATTGATATAAAGTATATAAAAAAATATTTTAAAGTATAAAATATTTACAATAAATATAAATATAATTTAAATTATTATATTTAAATCTTAATGAATTTAATGAAAAACAGGTTTGTAAATAGAAATGAATGGTGGTCAGCCAATGATGTCCATTGCATGCATCATCCTGCGAACCCACTAACTTTGCTTTGATTTGGTGTAAATGAATCAATTCCCCACTTCTCAATACTCATAAATCAAACATAAACCTACTCTTCATTTTCTTATATTCGATTCCATTACAATTCCTCGCAGCCCCTCATAATGGATAAGGGAATATATCGATAACATTGGTGCGCGAACTTGTACCAAAACCAAATTCTTGTATACATTTTCTTCGCCTATAAAAAGACTGGAATGATTTAGGAGCAGGCGGCTGGCATGCACCTTCACTACCTCTCTAGCTTATAAGAAATACACAGAGGAAAAAAAAAAGGGAAGAGAAATCAATGATGAAGGTGATGAAGGCAGCGAAGCCATATTTGGCAATAGTGTTCCTACAGTTTGGATATGCAGGGATGAATGTTATCAACAAGGTTGCTCTCAAGCACGGTATGAACCATTTCGTCCTTGCAGTCTACCGTCATTTGGTCGCCACGCTTGTCATTGCTCCCTTCGCTTTTTTCCTTGAAAGGTTCATTTTAAACGACAAAACACTCATTTTCAGAATGCCTACAAAAGTGCACCCTTCTATATATTGTCTAGTACCAATTGACCTGTTCAGATGTTACGTACAGGGATGCAAGGCCGAAGATGACACTCCCCATCTTCCTCCAAATAACTGCGCTTGGTTTCCTTGAGTAATATATATATACTCACAAAACCTTGATTAAGCACCGTCGATTTAATTTTGTCAAGTACATATATATGCGTTATGCGTACACACAAAAATAAAGAAAAGATATTATGAAGAAAGAAATTATATTGTAACTAATTGTAATGATGTATTACATTTGTGCAGGCCAGTGATTGACCAAAATTTATATTTTCAAGGTATGAAATATACCTCAGCTACCCTGGCTTCTGCTACCGCCAATGCTGTTCCTGCCATTACCTTTGTATTGGCACTCATTTTCAGGTATATATACTCTTTTTTTCAAAAATAAAACATGGGTGATATAGGACTATAGTTATGGTAACTATTAAACTTAGGCCAAACTCTCTATTTGCACCATGTATTTTTTTTTTCTCACAGTCATTACCTTCAATAATTTTTATTTTTAATTAACAGCCCTTATAGTTTAAAATCTAAAAAAAAAAAAATTCAAAAACTAATAGTAAAACTCCCTATTTATATCCCAACTTTGTTGATAATTTGGAGTTTTTTTTTAAGTTTCAAATTATGAAAGGTATTAACCAAAAATGAAAATTATAAAGGGTATTGATTGTGAAAAAAAAAATAATGTACATGATATAAATTGGGGGTTTGGGTAAAATATTCATAATCACTCCATTTCACATACCAAAAGTATGCATCTATCAGAATTCATTGCATAGAAAGTGTAATTGATTAATTATGTTCCAATGATTATAATCAATCAGACTAGAGAAGGTGGATGTGAAGAAGTTACACAGTGTGGCCAAGGTGATAGGAACTGTAATCACGGTGATGGGGGCAATGGTCATGACTTTGTACATTGGTCCCGCCATCCATTTCGTCAAGTCTGCGGGAGCAATCCACCTTGGAAACACCACTGAATCTGATAAGCACAACCACTTTATTGGCATCTTGTTCATGTTAGGAGGCATTAGCTGTTGGGCAGGCTTCTTCATATTACAAGTCAGTAATCTAACTCTCTAATCTCTAATTAAATTGATTGAGTTTTTGGTGCAATCTTAAGTCCACACTCATTACTTTTTTTTATATATATATATATATGATATCAGTCATTCACACTAAAGAAGTACCCAGCAGAACTCTCTCTTACAGTTTTGGTATGCTTGATGGGAACAGTAGAAGGTGCTGTGGTTTCTCTTATGTTTGAAAGAGACATGAGTGTCTGGAAACTTGGCTTTAACAGCAAGCTCCTTGCTGTTGCTTACTCTGTAAGTTTAAGTTTTAAAATAGCAAAACCATCTACAAACACAAAATCACAGAGGAAAGGAATATTCTAACATGTGAAATTTCATCAGGGAGTGGTTTGCTCTGGAATTACTTATTTTGTACAAGGGGTTGTGATTCGAGAACGAGGCCCTGTTTTTGTAACATCTTTTAGTCCTTTGTGCATGATCATAACTGCTACTCTTGAGGCCATAGTTTTGAAAGAGTTAATCCACTTAGGAAGGTATGCAAGCGGTTCCCTTTATTTTTTTGGTCTTTTTCAAATCCTTCTCCACTTATTTCAAAAATACATCAAATATAATGAGGATAAATGATCAAGTGAGTCTGAGTGGGTATTGTTTTTCGGCTTTTAGCATACTTGGAGCCATTCTCATAGTAGTTGGACTATACACAGTGGTGTGGGGCAAGAGCAAAGATATGAAAAGTACATCAGAAGAGTTGATTACGACTAAAGATAAAAGTTTAAACTAAGAATTGTCCATTGTCGATCATGGAGGCATAATCGATGCTCCTGTCAAAATTCTTAAAATTCCAGCTCCAAACAAACATCAGATCAGATTCTATTGCGTTCAATAATAATGTTATCCTGTCTATCTAGCGTGTCTGGTCTAATCCATCTCTCCAAACTCGCTCCATCTGTGTACTAGCTCTAGGCATGTACCAGCCTACCCTGCTTCTTTTGATGTTGTACTTTTGAACTAATCAAAGTGCCTTAATGAAATTAATCAATGTTTGCTTAAGTTTCTTTGATTTAAATATGGATATAGTATTGGCACGTGCTTATTATTAAGATAAATGCACCACACACATGCATGTTGAGGGTAGATTTTAGTTTACGATTGCACAAATTTTTAACTATATATACGTTCAGAACATATTATTGTTCCTTTATTTTAAGAAAAAAAAATTGCAGTTTCTTTTCTTTAGAAAATGGTAATTCATAATTTTGGATGAATAATTTAAGTAGGAAATGAGAAAATACAGTGTATTCTGTTAAATTGGGAGAATTTTAAGGAAAGTATGCTTCTTGCAATAATTTAACGAGTTAGCTCATAACATGGCCTTTTTCTTTCTTGATACATAAAGTAGTTAATTATACAAAAGGTGCTCTGCAGTTGGGTTTAGAACTTTAAATATACCTGAAGGTCATTGTATGGCGTGTCCTGTCATGGAAAGCGCAGCTCCCTTGGCTATTTGCTTTATTATTGTTATTGAAGATATTTTTCAACGAATGAATCTACTCGGCACTAATATATAGTTACAAATTTTCAATGTTTGAAAGATTACAACATTAATATGTTATTAAATAAATATATATAATATTATAAGTAAATTTTTAATAAAAAAATTAATTTTAAATAATACATATAAAATTTAAGTTTACAATATGATAAAATGCATTTTATATGTTTTAATATATTATTTTAACTTTGATTTTATTGATATTTGAATCGGTAGAATGTGATTTTTAATGTATTTTATATAATATTTATTTTTTGTGTAAAAAAAAATCACATTCATAATAAAAGAAGCTTCTTTACTTAAGTTAAAATTTATATAAGGTTGAGGGACTTCATTGTGAGAAGACAAGTTGCAATCAGGGACCTACATTAGTGTATTTGAAGTTATGGGATTAAAGTACTTATTATGTAGAATTTGGAAGATTAAATCTATATTTCACCATTAAAAAAATTGCAAAGTGATTAAAAGACCTGACACGGGTTTCTTGTCGATACTATCTCGAGATGGCAAATGGGTTCCATGAGGGCGGGACTCCTTCTCCTTTCCCATCCTTGTTAATGATAAGTTCGGAAATTTTTACAAGAATTTTTAACGAAGGATCAAAAATAACATTCATTCTCATACCTGCAAAGAATGATATATTCTCACGAGCATTCGGAGTCTTTATTAAATAAAACTATCATATACTCTACTGCTTGCTAATCAAAATTTTTGTTGTTTGTTAATCAAAATTAAGTTTAATATGGATTTACTTAGACTCTACTAGTTTTCACATTCATCGAATAAAACTAGTTCAAATAATCATATAAAGTAAAATTTTGAAACAAGACAAACAAGCAGTAAATATACACAACCAATATATAAATGTCAAGCAGGTCTAGCAAGTCAGCAACAAATTCATAAAGAAAAAAAAAAGCATAAACTGCCATATAAATCTAGCAAATCCAACAAAAAGTTCATAAAAAAAAAGAGCATAAACTACAACTGTCACATAGGTATAGATCTAGCAAAGTTTATAGAAAAAAAAAATGCACAAACTACTACCATAGATATCTAGCAATAAGTTCATTAAGAAAATGGGCATAAAAAGAGTCTAGTAAGTGGCAAATATGTACACATCCATCCAATCTAGTAAGGTAAACTCTGTAACAACAACTTAAATTAAGCTTGATCAATAATTTCAAGTTAAGAAAATAACTTTCTGAAACAAAAACAAGTACCCCAAGTTAACAAAACTTTAGAAAAAAATTCCTTATATCAAATTGAAGAATAGAAATAAAGCTATGTGCACGATCTTTCGAAGGTTGTTGAGAATGATAGGTTAAAGAGAATTGACCGATTGAAGGACAGAAACAAAGCCAGTGAGTTACAGCGCAGTCTGCGCAGAGAAGAGGAGACTAGAGTCTGGAAAGGAGGAAGAATTACAATTCGTAGATTCGCAGATCTAAAATCTATCTATGAGTAGTAGTCCTTCTAGTTCTAGGGTTACTAATTACTAATGCAAATTGGGTTAGGCCTAGGCAATTAAGTTTAGGAAGACTATGGGCTGGATTGTATAATTGGGTTTGAAAAAACTAAAAAAGAATGGTTTTGTCGGTTAATTAGGTTGAGTAAGTAAAAATTAATTGTTAATATATTTAAATATATATATATAACTTTATATTTTTTTTATTTTATATGGATCTCCACGGTTCCTCACGAGACAGAGGAAGTTCCCCATGAGATGAAGAAAATTTCGCATGAAATTTCACGAGGGAAAAAATCCCTCCATCCCCATCCCACGAGGAGGAATAGTCTTGAAATCTCCATCCTCGTGGCGAGAATATCTGCGAAACTCCATGGGTAGTAGAGGAAATTGCCATCCCTAATACTACCTATTAGGTATCAACACTGTTCATTAAGACTTTGGAAAATAAGTACAGTGTGAAGTGAAGCTTGAAACAGTAGTATCAACCAAAATTGTCAATATCGTACCGACATGCGTATCGATTTTGTTACTGGAATGGTATGTATCGAATATCGAAATTTTTCTCGTACCATCTCAGATTTATTGCTATAAATATATTTTTTTATAAATTAAATATCAAATTTTAAAATAAAATAAAAGATACTAATGTTTAAAACTATTATATTCCTATAAATTGAAAATAAGTTTAAACGATTATTTTTAGTTCCTCAACTTTTAGTATATGGATATTTTTTGTCTATCCACTTTAAATTAAGGGATTAAAACTGTGTGTATTTAGACAAACTTAATGCAGTAATTGATAGAATGACTAAAAAAGTATAGGAAAAAGTTAAATGATGAAAATTATGTAAAATATTAAAGTTGAGGAACAAAAATGAAATTTACCCTTTTTAAATTTGAATTGAATTGTATCGGGTAATTTTGTGTATCGGCCGGTATGCCAAAATACCGACCGATGCACCGAAACTTGACCAAAACAAGTAAAATTTAACTGAAACAAAATTCGATCATGTATCATTTTAATTTAATGTAAAAACTAATATGTAATGACCATACCAACCAGTACAGTACAGTGTTAATAACCTTCACGTGAACACTAATATCGTAGTATCGACACTCTTAAGTGCCTTTTAACTTAAAATATTACCATCTGTGACACAAATCTCGTTCTTTTCAAATAGAGATTTCTTAAATTTTATAAATACATTCAAAATTAGACTTAAAAATCAACAGAGACGTGAAAATCAGAAACTCAAATTTTTTAAAAAAAATTAAGATTTTATATTATTAAATTAGTTTTATTTATATATTTTTAGATTTTATTTTGTAATGTTAAATATTTTTATATTAATCATAAAAAGTAAGGATTCACTTATATAAAATTTTAACTATTTATTTTTATATTTTTAATTGTTGAAATTTATTATAATTTTTTTGATAAAAAATAATTATTTTTAATAAATATGATAAAAAGTAAAAATCTTAATTATTAAAAATAGATAAATAAATTGTCAAGATTTTATATAAGTGTAGTGTATAAAATTTGTATGTAAATAAATCTATACTCAATCATGAAATATGTTGGTTAAAAAACTCCAAGAGGGGGTGAATTGGAGTTTTCAAATTTTTCTTCTTTTTACAACCACCAAATGAAAAACAAAGAGAGTATAGAAGAAAAGCTTGCATCAGTGATGAGGTTTAACCCAACTACTTAGCACATAATCTTCTACCTTAACTTTACTCATTAAGAATTTCCTCCACAATCTCCATCAATGCTCAAGAGTAGTTTAAAGGAGTTATCCAATTCTTTTACAATATGTTTTTTACTCAAACACCCCCCTTTACAAAGAACCCCAATAAACTTCACTTAGTTTCTCTCTTGAAGGCTTTACTTACTCTCAAGTATTTTTTCTTGGAGTTTCACTCACCCCTAAGGTCATAAAAAAAAGGTAGAAAGAAGGAATACAAAGGACATGATCTCTTAAAGACCTAATTTGCAAGTCTAAGTTCAAATTCTTGAAATGATTTGCAAATTTAAGCTTAACTCTTGTTTTTTATCTTATAATACGTGTCTAGAGCTCTCCAAAATGTTTATCAATCATATTTATAGTATTAAGGTTGAAACTAGCCGTTTTTAATCGTTGGAGTTCATTTAACATCCTACAAATCAGTTTAAGTCTAAGAAAATACATTGCAAACTTTGTCAGTAGAAATGGCTATACCTTTAGAGCCGATTGTCATAGTTAAAGCCAACTATCCTACTACATCTGTACTTTTTTTTTTCCTGTTGTGCCGACTACAAAACACAAAGCCAACTTAGGAAACTTGAGTTTAAAAGATTAAAATATCTTTGAAAAATTTGACCGATAAACATTAAAGGCATCATCATAGATAGCTGTAGAGTCATAGCTGGTTTTGTGTTCGTTTTCCATGCATGCTAAACTGCAGGTTTGAACTTTTTACCCATAGAGTCAATTGCAATTTTCATAGCTAGCTTTTTGCATTTTTCTTCACTAGAGTTGACTGCTGAATTGTAGAGCTAACTCTTTGCACTTCGTCACGTTTTCTACATTTCTCCAAAGTTGGTTGTAGAAAATCATAACGAGCTCTCTGCACAATTTTCAGCATTTTAGATCTTTTTCATTGTAATCCAAGTTTACTCTTGCCAGCTTTTAAGTCATAAATTATACATTTAAATAAAAAAATTAGTAATTCAAATGCGTTTTATGCTTTTCAAAAAAAAAAAATTCAAATATGTTTTATAATTATCAAAATCATAGGTATAACAAAATATTTGGATTTCTCCTTTTTCTCATTATAAACTAATTTAGCCATCTAACCCTACTATATATCTTAGTCAATTTAATATATAATTTTATAATTTTTATACTTTCAATATTTATTATTCTATGT